TTGGGGTTTTTGTTTGTTCGCTTGTTTATGTCTTTTAAGCTGTCAGGGTTTAGTGGAGTCGCTTGACAAGGATGGGCTTATTACCGCGGGGGAATTGTTAAGGCAAATAATGCGTGTATTAATTCTGGTACATATTGGAAAGAGTTTCAGTGCAAAGGCAGCTGCTTATTTGCCACTCACTCTAGTGGGTGTGAACACTAATTAGAATCCCACTCCACCCATTAAAAACTGGCTTAACTCTGAATGTTTCTCTGGCTTCTCTGACATTTCTGGTTGTCGGGATATATTCACAGAGCCCGGTTTGTATATCAAGATAGCCATTGCTTAACTGATTCTGAGCCCTTTAAATATACTGCTGCATACTGATGTGTTAGTAGGATGACCTCTTAAAGATTGCCTGGCTTAATACCTTTCTTAAAACCAGGTGTTTCTAGATGGTGGCCTGCATGAAAATGGTGCAGTACTGTTCTGGCTGTCTTCAAAAGGGGATACTGGATTAACCTAGGACATTTTCAGGTTATTATGTAGATCAAATCATATTTTTAAGATGACCTGTGTGTTTGATCAGATTAGAACGGAAGCAGGATGTGTTTCTCTGCTGTCTTGGACCTCATTTGGTTACAGTTTCCAAAGCACTATCAGGATAGAGCTTACTGTGTGCTTGGGTATGACTGGACGTGATGCGAAATATTGAAACACGGGGCGCATCGATGTCCTCTTTAATGTAGCTAGTGCTAGGCAGCATGTGTGCAGTGTGTAGTATTTGCAAGATGAACTGAAAATGTTGCTCAGCTAGATTGTTTCTGTTCTTGCTAATATACATGTGAGAATCTAGGACACGCTGACTTTTCTGAAGACTTAAGACGCTTGTGACACAGTTAGAGCACTTCAGATGGTTGTTAACGAAGAGTACTTGAGGAAGCCTTGTGCGTTCCTGACAGTGGTTCTGTAGAACTTTCCGGGTAGCAGTTGTTTAGTAGACTGATCTTGAATGTAAACTTGTGTAAGAACAAAAATAACTCAAACTCGTATTTTATTATCTAAAGACTTTGTGGGATTTCTGTTGACGTCCTGTCTGGGCTCTAAGGCTTTTTGCATGTGGGGCTCTATCCATTAATAATGCGTATTTTTGTTACACACAGAGCTCTTTAGCATGTCAAATCCTATTGCTTAAAGTGCCACCATGTGTCTTCATATTGACCTTCTAAAAGAAAGATGTCTGTAATTCATCGGTGTTGTTTCTTTTCAATTGCTTTGGATGTGGATTTGATCTAATTAGCGTCCATTATGAGGACTCTCAACAGCAGTGAGGTTCTGAAATGCACTGCACATCTGGGGAAGCCCTTCTTGTACAGGAAGCTGCTGCCAGTGGCCAATTTACACAACAGAAGAGGGTTTTAGTGTGTGAATGACTCTTCC